GCATTGAATGAAATGAAACTTGGCTGTTGATGGTGTCTGTGTCTGCCTCGCTAGTTCCCGTTACTGGGGCGCGGGAGCGACATCGCATACTGTTTGTGCTCAGTCACGCACACTGTACGACCATTGCGCATATTTGAGTGGTTACACGCCATACAAAGCTCCACTATCCACACTGTGCTATCTGAGCTTCCAACTGGCGTTTTTTGAGCAAGCCCAATCCAACTGATATCTCCGTCATCTCGACCCTTCACCCACTCAAGCCCAAAATCGCTCATCGCGATCGCCCAATCCTAATCACCATCTCGCGATCCCTCTCGACATCCATCACTACTCTCACTCCTCCATCCTCGACTATCGCTTCTGAAGCCATTAACGGATTTCATCGATAAAAGGGGACGCGGTTCCTGTGTCTGGCGCGATTATGGCACGCGACTATTCACCCGCCGAGTCTCCCCTCTCCTCCATGGACGAGTCGGAGCCCTACGAGGAGGACGGCCATGAGCTGTACGAAACGAATTTGCGACCTTCAAAGCGCCAAAGGGTTGATGCTGGCTCTACAACATCCTCTGCCGTCATCCCCGACGCCGAGCCCGAGACTGTACCAGAGCCTGACCCTCTCGAGGGCATGTCTGACGTCTCATCTGACACGTCGGGTGACATCCCCAGCTCTCCGATCAATGCGCGTCTCGATGAGGAGGATTTCCAGGACCAAGTGACTGTTTGCGACTGGGACGGTTGCCCGGCTGGCGACCAGGGCAACATGGACAAGCTGGTTGAGCACATCCACAACTCGCACATTGAGAACCGACAGAAGAAATATACATGCGAATGGAGAAGCTGCAACAGGAAGGGTCTTCCCCATGCCAGTGGATATGCCCTCAAGGCACACATGCGCAGCCACACAAGAGAGAAGCCCTTCTACTGCTACTTGCCAGGTACGGCGCACCTTGACTCGCGATACGCGATAGCTTATACTGATGATTCTTAGAATGCGATAGGTCTTTCACTCGATCAGATGCATTGGCAAAGCATATGAGGACAGTCCACGAGACTGAGGCTCTTCGTCCCTCTGATCCCGTCCCCAAGTCGATGCAGTCTGGACCCCAGGGCAAGGGAGGCAAGCTCAAGATCATCATCAAGACCAACCAGCAATCGCAAGGCGCACACGACGACATGGACGATGCCGCAAACGGCGACGACCACAACTCGGAGTACTTTACACCCCTGACCGAGGACATCTTCGCTGCCGAGGAGCTCGCCTATCCCGTCGACAAGCTGTACCGAAAGTGCTACTGGGAGGCGAAGTGGGCTGAGGAGGTGGGCGAGTCGCTCAAGAAGGAGTGCAAGGAGTGGGAGGATGTCTACTATAAGGAGTGGCTCGAGAAGGAGGTGCTCCTCGCCCAGGTGATCAAGAGTGAAGTCAACTGGCACGAGCGGCGACAGGCCATTCTCACTGGGGCTGCCGACGTACACATCCCCGGCACTGTAGAGAGCATCGAGGGAGAGCGGGAAAACGGCGCACAAGGAGAGGTTGTGGCATCCACCAACGGGACAAAGGCGGCAGGTGTTGCTGCATGATTGGGACTTCTAATGGCGTTTCTGTTCTTTCTCTTTTCCAGTCGGGGCATCACAACTGGAAGCTAGCCACGTCCCCGATACGGTCGGTGACCTTGTATTATTATATCTAAACGGATGTGGAGTTGATGGAGTTGGCTACGTGACTTTTGGGGAGAGCTCCAGTAGCAGCATAGGTCGTCAGATGCTCAGGACCGTACAATGAAATCATGATTCAGCTTTATACAGGATGTGTTATTACAGGGCCTTCTTCTTGGCTCGATACGACTGCGAGTTCTTGAAGGGAAATCCACTTGTGCTCTGGTCAAACCTGTGATAACGGCTGATCATGGCCTTGTCGCTGGCAAACATGATGCAGTACAGCCCAAAGGTGGCAAAGATGGCACTGCCAACGCAGCCGAGTAGGTATCCCGTCTCGCGAGTCCAGGCAAACCAGCCGTAGCAGTAGAAGGCGGTCGAGGCGTGGTGTAGCATGGATATGAGGACGGCGGCTGAGGCGTAGGGCGAGGGGGTCGTTCCGTCGGAGGATGCCTCTGAGGTTGGTGGTTAGCAAGGCTGTCAATAGATCCGATAGGAGGGTGGAGATACCATCTGAAGAGCTATCGAGAGGGAGAACGCCAGAGAGGACGATGACAATGAGGCCCAAAGCGAGGAGGGCGAAGCCGAGGGAGCGGGCAAAGTACGTCTCGAGGGCTGCACACGTCAGTATCTTTTTCTCACACAGCTTGAGAGTATCTCACGGGTTGGTTCGCCGCCCCCAGAGCGAAGGATGGATCCGACAAAGGACGGCCAGAGGATGAGCGGGACCGCCTGGGTGCTCAGCCAGGCGAGGTTCCCGAAGCTGTATGCCGCGATGGCCTATGGTGCGTGTCAGCGAGTTGAATGAATGGTACTCGTGGGGAGGGATCGTACACTCATTGTGAGGAATTGATGCCTTTGATAGATCAAATATCAAATAAAAAAAAATATGTTCAAAAGACCAAGTTGGTGGTTTAGAAGCTATAGCTAAAGCTGAAGCTCAAGATGGTTCCATCATGGGAAGCTGTCCTTTGACATGGGGGAGGATCCTCACCCATCGACGTCACCATGGCGCATTCGGCGACTCGACCCGCTTACGAACGGCCCATATCCCGATCCGTCCGTTGTAGCATTTTCCGCTCTTTCGCCACATAGGCCGATCTCGCATGTCTAGTCCCGCAGACACAGGCGACAAAAAAACCATTGCAAATCCTCACATTTTCATTGCCCACTCTTCCCAAGAACGGAGCCTTCCTGCCTGCCTGTATCGGGATTTCCGAGGAGTTACTAAAACAGCCCTTTGGTCTAAGCCAGACGCCCGCCCGTCTATCGTCCTGCAACTTCTTATCTTGCCCTATCCGTTGACTCACGGAGTTGTTTCTTTCTCTTGCCCGTTCACAATCTTTCCAATCATAACGTCTTGATTTGGCACTGGAAGATTTGCAGAGGTTTATTTATTTGTCAGCCGCCTTTGCGCCGAGAGTCCGTCCCCAGTAAAAAAAAACCCAAAGTCAACAACTCCCCGGCTTCCATTTCCGCTTGGGCGCATCCACCACTCAACTTTATACCAAGCAACTTCCTGATACTCCTATATTATCATCGTCGCTGCCGTCCTCCCTTTCTCTCGCGATTCACCACTAGGCGCCATGAGTGCCATTCTCTCCGCCGACGACCTCAACGACTTCATTTCCCCCGGTGTCGCGTGCATCAAACCCATCGAGACCCTCCCCGCCGCCCCGCCCCCGCAATCGCAGTCCCTCGAGACTGAGGTCATCCTCGACGGCCAGCAACCCGCGGCCAACCCCAACGCCCCCGCCCAGATCTCTCTCACAGATTGCCTTGCATGCTCTGGCTGCGTAACATCCGCCGAGGCTGTGCTCGTGAGTCTTCAGAGCCATGCCGAGGTCCTCACCACACTTGATGCGGCACCGGCCTTGAGGGTCGTCACCGACGATAGTGGCCGGTTCAGGGTCGAGGGCTTGGAGAATGAGAACGCAAAGCTCTTTGTGGCTAGTGTGAGCCCTCAAACAAGGGCCAACCTTGCTGCAGCCTGTGGTGGGAGCGTCTCAGAGAAGGATGTCGGACATATGCTGAGCAACTTGCTGCGAGGGCCAGACGGCATTGCTAATGGCGGGCAATGGAAGAACGGCTTCACATGGGTGGTCGATACCAATGTCGCGAGGGAGGCTACCCTTGTGCTCGGTGCTGAAGAAGTCCTCAACTCGACGGGGGCTGGTGTGGCTGCGCCTGCGAAACCCATCCTGGCATCCTCATGCCCCGGCTGGGTTTGCTACGCTGAAAAAACACACCCCCATGTCCTTCCACATCTCTCCAAGGTCAAGTCACCACAGGCTTTGATGGGCACCATTCTCAAGACAACCCTAAGCCGAACACTTGACATCGCCCCCAGCCGCATCTGGCACCTGGCCGTTATGCCATGCTTTGATAAGAAACTTGAAGCCAGTCGGGAAGAGTTGACAGAGGAGGTTTGGGCAGGTGGTGAATCTCGAGGTCGAGGAGTCCGGGATGTTGACTGCGTCATCACGAGCAAAGAGATTCTCATGCTTGCAGAGTCAAGGGGACTCAATTTCTTCGATATACCCAAGACAGCGCCGCCCAGCCCGACCCTGACACCGTTCCCTGATCCCAAGATCCACGACTTCCTCTTCCCGCGTCGACGGTCGAGAAACTCACCCCGCGAGGCCGGCACTTCAGGGGGGTTGTTGCACCATATCCTTCAAAGCCGAGCAGCGCAGACACCAGGCGCAGAGATTGTTCACGCCCGTGGTCGCAATGTTGATGTTGCCGAGTACTCTGTGGTTGTGAATGGCGAGCCAGTCTTCCGTGCCGCCAGATATTATGGCTTCAGAAATATTCAGAACCTGGTTAGGCGACTGAAGCCAGCCAGGCCTTCCCGAATGCCTGGTGGAAAGCCGTTTGGAAGCGCTCGCAAGCCGGCAGGAAAGGCGGCATCTCTCGAGCACAGCTATGTCGAGGTCATGGCATGCCCCGGAGGCTGTACCAACGGTGGTGGTCAGATCAAGGTTGACGACCCCGTCGTCATGGAGCGAAGGAATTATTCCGGAAAGCCAGGTCCGCAGGAGCAAAAGGACTGGCTGGCAGAAGTCGACGAAGCCTACTTCTCGGGAGAAGAGGCCGGCATCGAGGTTGGTGAGGAAACATTCGAGCATGTCGTTGGCGGCATCTCCCACTCATACATAAATGATACCCTGGCGCATTGGGCGGAGATCACAGGCATAGGACTTGATAGACTGGCATTCACGAGCTATCGTGAGGTGATTAGCGACGTTGGTAAAGACACGGCCACAGATACCGAAAGGGTGGTACAGCTGGCGGGAAAGATTGGAGGCGGATGGTAAAGCTAGTCGATAGAATAATCAACTGCCCTAGCCTCCTCTTCGAGCGAAGCCAAACCCTCCCCGTCCACTTCCGTCTGGCCCTCTTGGTGTTCGAATGGGAATCTGCTGCTGCTGCTGCTGCTGCTGCTGCTGCTGCTGCTCGTCCTGGGGCGTCTGGTTCCTCCTGGGCGATGGCTGGTCGGGCTGTCGCCTTTGGTTGTTGGGTTCAGGCCTCGGGGTGGAGTTTGGATCGAACAGCTCGCGACCGGAACCTGACATGTTCTGCCTCCTCGGGGCGTCAAACGAGCGATTGTCGTACTGGCGATTCTCATACTGGCGGTTCTCGGTGTTCCTATATCCGCCTCTTCCCCTACCCCGACCACGACCACTGAAATGCCCATCCGACCGCGGTGGGGTAACTGTGCCCGGAGATGAGGCTCCTGACGACGGGTTCGACTCGCCAAAGATCTTGGCTCGGGCCTCCTCGTACCGCCGCTGCTTCTCCTCTCGGTCTCGCTTTTGCTTGGCACGAATCTCTTCTGGGCTCATGGGCACCTCCTTCTTGGCCTCCTCGTTGTCGTCGTCGACGGTCATGCCAGTCACGGGATCCCGCTTGGCGATGACGGGCTTCCGGCTGAGCACCTTGACCTGGGGCTTGAATGGGGTTGTGAGGGGGACGCCCGAGTTGGAGCTGGCCTCTATGTAGTGAAAGGTTTGGGGAGTGTCCCTGTCGCAAAGAGCGTCAGCAAAGAACGGGGCTAGCTTGTCAATCGCAATGCTGAGGGGACGTACGCAGACTCCCACAGCTTCCGATTTTGCTCAGCGTGCTGAGCAAGGCGCTCGGCCTTGGTGAGAGTAGCCTGGGGCGCCGATTGCTCAGGCTCGTTCACGACCTTGTCGGCCTGTGCCTCCCAGTCGTCCTCCCAAGCATCAGGAACAGGCGCCTTATTCTTGGACATGGTCAATTCAGGAGGGCTTTCCAAATGGTGACTTCGGTGATCTAGATATGTCAAGGCCTTCGTCTCCGTTTGTGTCTTGAAATCTGGTCCGGGATCGCAGGGTTGAGCATGGGGTGAAGCAAGAGCGTTTGGGTGGTTGCTGTTGGGAAGAAAATAGGCTGAATGGAGGCCCAAAAGCTGGGAGGAAACTCACGACGTATGGGGGACCTACGTTTTTTTCTTGCCTGTGCAGGACCTGAGAGCAGTGCTTCAAGGAAGGGGCCCGCTCAGGATTACGCCAACCTGGGGAAACGCGAGGGACCTGGGCGCAACCCGCCGAACGGCGACATGACCGCCTGCCGCGCTTGTATCTCCGAAGTCGCTTCTGTCAAGCCCAGATCTTTAGCTGGGCAATTCAGGTCAGTTTGGGCTGGGAGGTGGGCAGGTATGGAAGTTGCGGGGTGGCTGCTGGTTGGTGGGGCAGGGGAAGGGAAGCTCAACGCAAGCATCAGCTGAATCACCATCTCTCCTCTCTCTGTTGATACGTCGTCTTCTGCCGCAAGTCTCAAACCATCGCTATCGTTTCTGGTTGTGCCTCACATAATCTGTGGCTCCCTTTATTTCCCATTATTCCCCTACCATACCCATCTCAAGAGTTCCGTTTTCTCAACATGGCTGGTGGTCCACGTCTCTCGCCAATGATCCAACGTGAAATGGCTGATCGAGCTGCCAATACCAGTGCCAGAAGAGTAGCTGAAGAGTACGAGGCAGCTAGGCTAAGGCTTACAGATCAGAACTTCAATATGCGTAAGTGCTAGAGATGTTAAGTTCCCATCATCAGTCGCTCGGGCTGACGACACTATAGTCAGCTACCCAGACCCGCTCGCCCCTCGGAAGCAGTCAACTACATATCCCCCGGGAGTAACGCCTGAGATGGAAAAGAAGTGGCTTCAGGTCATCGAGCAGTCTAAGAAATGAATCGTAACTCTTAACATGACTTCCAGTCTAGCGAGGAACGTTCAGTGTCAGGAATAGAGAGTGTCCAGTAATAGGAACGTGATTCTAGACGGAACTAGGGGCTTTGATGGGACTCAAGGAAGTTTCTAAGATCAGTTCTATGGTGATTCAGTGATGAGCTCTACTGGCGGTTGTTAGGATAGCTGGCATTGTGGATTACTGCCTCAGCTTGGAGTGACTTGCGCATCGACTTGGAGGTGAAGTCGTCACAGAGACTCCAACCCCTGTATCGCCTAGTCTAGTTTGATATGCAGGTTGTGAATTCCAGTCGCATATGTCAAAGGCTCGTATTTAAATGTGTACCAATATGGAATTGCGAGAAACCCCCGTATCTGATCCCCAGACAAGAGGGACGTATACAATGACCTCGAATAAGGTCTATCACACCAGTCGATCTCGTGTAGAATTCAAGTCTTGCACCCGAAGAATGTATCACACTGGTGCTCGGATTTCAGCCTTTTTACCCCAAGTTCCATGGTCATCACAACTCCTGATCTACAACACCACGAGACGCAAATCAATACGAGCATTCTTATTGTAGAAAACCCGGAAATATACTTATTCGTCAAGCCTCCTTGACATTCTTGAATTCTCAGAATACACACTCAAAAGGCAAATCGTCTATCCAGTCGTGTTCTCCCGGAATCAAGGGAGAGCTTCATCACACGCATACGGCTGCAAACTGGGGCTGGTTCCTGCGTGTATGCAAGGCATATGAAAACTGGCACAGCCGACCATAGCCCCCTTCAGCAGACAATGGCGTCAGCTTAGCTGTAAGCTGATGTCGGTATGGCCGTAGCATCGATCAACGAGACCCGAGGTTACCACTCATGTGCTGTGATCTTCCAGGCATGCTCCTCGCCCATCCATCCGAGATGCAAGATATCCAAGCAGGGGGGAATGAGAAGAAATGACATGCGGGTGGTATCACACCTGGCCGGGTACAGGTCTGTATTCAAAGGTGTCTGGCCCGGGGTGTCACAGCTGGGGTGCAGCCCAATGAAGCCGTAGCAAGTTGACAGACATGCGGAGGTGCTGCAGAGGCAGGGAGTCGATCAGGTCGCGGGGTGACCATCCCATCGGGACCGAGCTCTCGATGGGATTTGCGAATGGATGATGGCCATTTGGCTGTGTTGCCCGAGGGGTGGCTTGGCCCATCCACTCCTGTCGTGATTGTTAGTGATTCCTGTGCAACATATGATCTCAAGGCAACCGAGACAAGGTCAATGGGAGATGGACGGATTACAAGGTGTATATAGTCAGTAACAGTGTGTAAATATCATTGCTTCAAGGCTGCCTGCATAACTAGGCGTTCTAATACCAGCTAGTCTCGATGCAGCGTTTCCCGCAGTTTGCCATCCAGTCATGTTGAGAGGGTCAAAACACAGGGCAGATTCAACCACGGATTATTAATTAATAAATTTCTGTGTTTTTGCAGCAACACGTAGGTTGACATTAACGAAATGTTGAGGCCGGGGATAGTGGCAAGACCCATGTTGCAGTCGACCCTGTCGGCCAAAGGGATGGAAACGGTAACCGACTTGTGTCGATCTCGGCTAGCCATGACACGTTTTGACAGACACAGGTATCGGGCTTGACGTTCCAAAAAGGATCACACACATCAGCCTAGCAGCCCGGGGGCCTGGGGACGCAACCGGGTATTTGGAATTGGAACACAACATGTGAGGGTGAGAGTGGTGTCTGTGTGTGTGTGCGATGGTGACGGCAGCGGAAATAGTTCACCAAGTGATGGCCAATGGTTCAAGGTCGAGCTTTCAACTTGGGTAGGGAGGGTCATGTTTGTGGCGATTGCTGGGATTCCCCAGCTTCCATGTGAGCAATCAAGCAACGTTCAGCATACCAAGAGAGGGCTGGACCTCTCTCAAACATGACGGGTCGCGGGAGTCGCCCCGAGCCGAAGGAGCGTGGCTCGATAGAGTGGCCCGCGTGATCATGAAGATGGATGAGGAGAAGCAATGAGTGAATGGCCTAGGAGACGCACATGTCGTCTTATTTTATTGTCGTGCGTGCCGTGGGCCAGAGAGAGAGGTGCAGATATCGGTCTGGTCTGGTCTTGGCACCGACGGACGTGTCTCGGGCTTCATGACTGGGCAAAGACGTCATCCGTCAGGTTGACTGAACCCTCCAGGGCCTGTATTGCTGAGGAGCAATACTCCATAGGAACTCCAGGAACGTTCACCGTCGTCTCATCTTGAGTGGAATCGAGCTAGCTGCTTCACCAATCCAGCACGTACATTCTGCCAAGAGTGAGGTGCGGCGCCGGAAGCGTTGGTAGCTAATGATGGTGAGGGGAGCATGCAATCAGAAGCTTGGAGATCTCTTGTTGAACCCCGCCGAATCAAGTAAAAATGGAAAACAAGCCCCACCAAAGATTACACCAAACGACCACCTACCAGACCGGCCAAGATCGCCTTCCGCCAGCAGCCTGAGCTGTGCAGCGGCCGGGCAATACGCACTGTGGCCGGCCACTCGTAGTAATCCGCAGCGTGTGCCTATCACGACCGATGGACGGGACCAGATCCCAGACCAGCTGGAGCTGCTGCTTCTACTCGCATCTTCCAGAATGAACCTGGACACCGCTGTTCTGTTCTGTTCCATCCCGTCAGCAAAGGTCAGCACTGAAACTCAGCTCAAGCTCATCCTTCCCGTATGCCGTGCAGACCTCCCGCTCGATCGATAGCAGAGGATGCGATAGATACATCATATACTGCCATAAAGCACTCTCGCCCACGCTAACATTGCGAGTCTCATGGCGCCATCATTTCATCTAGAGGCGGGGTTGGGAGCGGGCCTTGGTCCTGTTTGTTGTTGTTGTTGGTGCTGAGGCTTGCGCGGATGGCGCCGAGCCCAGCTTGGACGCCATCTTGTAAACCGCAATGCAGGAAACAGCCTTGAAATCCAATACCAAAGTCGAGAAGCCATAAGGCGGATGCAGGCAGAACAAGGCTGTAAGCCTGAAAACGCCTAGAACAGAAGGTGATGTAAGCAGCCCAGACTATCCCGACCTCGAAAGAAAAAAAAAGTGAGGATGAAAAAAGTGAGGAACCAGGTGAGGAAGCAGGCGAGGACAAACCTCTAATAAGCTTCCCATCAGCATCAGGCAAACATCAACAATGCACAAACTCCGCCTCTGATAAGCTCTCCCGTTTGAATCCTAGCCCCGACTGTCCTATCCTGAGCTGTTGAGGGATAGTATCAGGGAGCAGGAGCCTCGGTCGGGATAACGTTAGGTCTGTTGCAGCGGGAATCCATCCAATCCATCCCCCCCGCCTCCATCCTCAATCAATCGAATCGCAGCTCCGTTGCATCGCACTGTACGGGCGCCTCTAAACTCCCCCAGCCCACACCCTCACTCACTTCGCCCCAAAGACGGACGTCTAATTATCATCTCCATCACTTCTCTCTGCCTGCCCGCGCCATCCTAATCTTTCCCTCTCTCAACATTAAACCATCGCATTCCCTGCTCACCGCGAGGGCCCTCGTCTCTCATCACGCCCTCGTCCTGCTCTCAACCCACGCACGCAGCTATTCCAGGGCCAGCGACGCCCAACCCCGACGACATTCGACGACTCATCTTGCTCACACTACCTACCTCGCCCCTCTCCTCCTCCTCTTCCGCCGCCGCCGCCGCCGCAACAAGTCGGCCCTGTTTCTAAGCCGCGGCAGCTTCCCCCATCCCAGCTCTTTGCCGTCATGTCAGGCACTGAGAGCGCAACTCAAAACCCTGGAGGCTTTGACCTCCTACGAAGGGCCACCCAGGCCATGATGTCAAGGTTCGTGCTTGCTTTCATTCTTCATGTCCAATTACAGTTTTGCACCCTTCCATTCCGCCCTCCCTCCGAATCTCTTGCCCATCTTCTACATATCCGTTGGGATCTCGTTGCGGCCCCAAGCTGGGGTCCTACTCCCGACATCGAATATCCCGGCTTGATCCCAGGGCAGTTGGCAAGCCCCTCACCAGGCCCAGGCGTCTTGGAGCTCGATGGTGGCAACGATGACGGGCCCTTCAGCACTTGAGCCCAGCAGCTTCAGCAGCGCCTCCTCGAGTCAGCGTCCTGTTCCGGCTAGTTCCAGTGGCCCCCCGGTCCAAGACACCGCCTGCCATGGAACCCACCATGGAAACCCTCCCGGAGCTCTCGCTCAAGCCCTGTGCTCGATCAAGCATCAATCCCACGCCAGGACAGCGCCCTGAACATCTGCAAGTTGCTGGGCTCAGCCCGCACCGCTGCCCTGCGCTGCAGGCACTCTAGGAGGCCCAGGCACTGGAGGTCGTCGGCCGTAGGGCGTTGGCGGGCTTGCGGCTAGGGCATGAGGTGCTACGGATCGTCCGCCAGTGGACCACCAGAGCTCTCAAATTCCTGACGGGACCCGTCGGCAGCACCCTTGGGCAGCACAGCAAGTCTCGATCCCGGATAAGAGAGCAGGAGTATGCGGTTTCGATGCAAGGACGCAGACTCCAATCAAGGCCTTGTCGAACCCTCAACTTTGCCATCGCAGTGGAACCAAGCAGTCACCGTCGTCTCGGAGCCGTTGGGTCCCAAAACCTGACTTGGCTCCGGCTCCAAAGAATGGCTCCGGATTCCCACATGCAAGAGACAGCTCCTCTGCTTCTGGCTCTGTCGCAAGGCCTGACTCGCCTCCTCCGTGATTGGATCCAGTCGGCCGGCCTTGGAGTCAGTCAGTCCCTGCGTTTCCATCCCATCCATCCCATCGCCTCCGACCCCGCCATCAGGTCTCGCTCCCACGTCCGCTCCGTGCCTCCCACGCAAGATACATACATACATACAAGCAACCTGCTCCCCTCGGTCAGACAAGCCTCCCGTCTGGACAAACCCACCCCCGGCTGCATATCGAGCTTTCTTTTCCGGAGCGAGGTGAAAAATTGATCTCGTCATCCCCCTTTCCCTCGACTCGACTCGACTCGACTCGACATCCATCGAGGTCCCAAGCCTCCACTTGTCCACTCGCTCCCGCTTCGTCTTACACGGCCGCTCTCGGCAAGGCCTCGCTTTTTTTTATTACTGCTGGTCCTGGCGCGCTGCCCGCATCCACACCAGAGCGAACACACCACTGGCCCTCTTGACCTTGAAAGGCCTTTTTCGATCCCGTGTTTTTCTCGTCATAGTCGCATCGTCAGAGCCCACCACTGCGGCTATTGCTCTTCGCCGCCGCCTGTTCCCTCACGACCTTTTGCCCTGTTTCCCCTCTAGTCGACGCGCTTGGCAGCCGTCATGAACTAGTGTTCCCACTTTGCCCTTCCCCGCGCTGCTGCATCGGCGCAAAAGCATTTATTCACTCACTGGAAATCTCTTACAAAATGCATGGGGTTAACCAAACCACCAGGTCCGCGGCCGCTGACGAGGATGGCGCCGATCACATCGGTTTGGATACTCCTCGATCTGGTGTAGCTACTCCTCAACCCGATCTACAGGACAAACGCTTGCCCGGCATCATGAGCTACTTCGGCCAGGTTCGTCAACGCCCTTCTAGTACAACCAGTCACAGTCTGTCTTTGTCCAAACCCAATCGTTCTTCCCAGAGCCAGAGCGCTGTCTCTCTAGACCGAAAGCAAATCCAGCCCACTCCACCAACCGACCTGCAGTTGCAGGCGCACACCGAAAGCTCTTCTCGCGAGTGTGCCTCTTTGGCTTCAGATCGTTTGCTGATTCAACATGAGCCTCTCGGTCTCGAGCCAAGAAGCAAGGAGCGGGATGAGCCCAAACTTTCCAACCCCTACCCATCCCCACCCACTTCTCAGCCCTCATCTTCTGGGGGCTCTATTTCCCAGGATATGATTTTTGCAGCCCCAGATTCAGGGGCCGACGGCAAAGCCGCTGCCGCTGCAAAGTCTTTAACACAGTCGCAAACTAAGAAATCTGCGGCATCCCTCTTCACCACTACCCATTATCAACCCTCCAATGACCCATTGCCCCCCAAGCTCGACTCCAACCACGCAGAACCTCTCACGGACTCTGTTCCTCCCTCACATCCTGAAGCACGTTCCACCCCGAGTGCTCGCCCTGCAGCCCCCGGCAAGTGGTACTCCTTTGATGGACTCAAGGAGCTAACTCGTATGACGTTCAAGAGCGGCCCCTCAACTCCTACTCGAGCAATGTCGGCTGCTCGACCGTCCGGTTCCGATAGCAGGGCCCTCTCCTCCGGGAGGACCAGCCACGATGGCGCTGAAGTCAGTGGCACTCAGACTCCCAGGAGCTCAGGCGGCACATCGGTGCCCGCTGCCAAGGGAAAGCTGACTATCAAGATCAACGAGGCTCGGGGACTTAGAAAGAGCCGAGATCCTTACGTCGTGGTCGTTTTTCAGCGCAGTGAACTCATCTCAAGCGGCCCCAGGCACACTGAAGAAGATGACAACCTCAATGTCGCCACACCCGGCATGGGCATGGGTGGTGGAATTCCCATCCAGCGACAGGGCAGCGATTCTGGCCGCCCAATGGCTATTCCCATGAGAAGCCGCCAGAGCAGCAACACCAGCATCAGTGACTACAACACTTTCCGAAATCGGTCGGCCCGACTTTCCTTCACGAACCCCAAATGGGATGCTGAAGCAGAATTGTAAGTTGCTAACCAAGTCAGGTACCAGAGTCAAGATACTGACCAGCCATAGCGATGTCGTGAGCTCCGAGATGCTGGTTGACATTTCGGTATATGATCATGCCGCCTCGGGTGAGGAGTTTCTCGGCCATGTCGATTTCCAGGCCAGCAGAGACCCCGATGCAGTTGTCCAAGGATGGTTCCAGCTCCAAGGTCATGCCGATACGATGGCAGAGAATGCGCCCACTGGCGAGATCTACGTCCAGGCCGTCTATCACAGAGCCGAGAAGAAGCACTTTGGTCCAACCGACTTTGATATTCTCAAGTTGATTGGCAAGGGCACTTTCGGCCAGGTTTACCAAGTGCGAAAGAAGGATACGCAACGCATCTACGCCATGAAGGTTCTCCAGAAGAAGGTTATCGTGCAGAAGAAGGAAGTCGCCCACACCGTCGGAGAGCGTAACATTCTCGTTCGAACAGCCATGTCTGACTCACCATTCATCGTCGGTCTCAAGTTCTCTTTCCAGACACCCTCAGAACTTTACCTTGTTACCGACTATATGTCCGGAGGAGAATTGTTTTGGCATCTGCAAAAGGAGGGACGATTCGACGAGAAGCGCGCTAAATTCTACATTGCCGAGTTGATTTTGGCCATTCAACATCTCCACAACAACGACATTGTGTATCGGGACCTGAAGCCCGAGAACATCCTCCTGGACGCCAACGGACACATTGCTCTATGCGATTTCGGTCTTTCCAAGGCCAACCTCACCAAGAATGACACCACCAACACCTTCTGCGGCACAACTGAGTACCTTGCGCCAGAAGTTCTTCTCGACGAGTCTGGCTATACCAAGATGGTGGACTTCTGGTCGCTCGGTGTCTTGGTGTTTGAGATGTGCTGCGGCTGGAGTCCTTTCTACGCCGAAGACACGCAGCAAATGTATAAGAATATTGCTTTCGGCAAGGTGCGGTTCCCCCGAGACACCCTCTCGCAAGAGGGCCGGAACTTTGTCAAGGGACTATTGAACCGTAACCCCAAGCACCGACTGGGCGCTACTGACGACGCAGAGGAGTTGAAGAGGCACTCATTCTTTGGTGACATTGACTGGACACTGCTTTCTAAGAAGCTCATCACTCCTCCGTTCAAGCCCAAGTTGAAGTCTGAGACCGATGTGTCGTACTTTGACCCCGAGTTCACGACTGCCCTGGATCAGAACGGATCTCTCAACGAGCGTGCGGCGGCACTGGCTAGGGGCTACGCAGCTTCAACTCCCCTCTCTCCCTCGGTGCAGGCCAACTTCCAGGGCTTCACGTTTGTGGACGAAAGCGCGCTGGATGATCACATGCGAGACCGAGCTCGAATGGACGACGAAGATATGGATGACGCTCAAGGACACCACGATAACGACGACTGGGACAACCTGGACGACATCGACCTCAGAAAGGCGAACCGGATGAGCGGCATTGTGAAGACTTCTGCTCACGATGAGCACATGGTGGGAGGCTCACACTTTGACGTATAACCCGGTCAGGTTTTGCATTTTACACCCAGATCAGCTTCACGGCGTTTCGACGATGATTAGGGGGGGATTCTATCCGTGTCATAAGAAGAAACAAAAAGTAATATTTCGCAAGCCAAAAAACCCAACCCAAATCATATCAGGCCAGACCCGCCGCTATTCTGTTTGCATGTGGGCCATGGATGATTAATTGTGGAATTATTTGCATCAAGGTCGGATGGTATTGCATTGCATTGGTCATCGATCGTGCTGAACAGGATTCATGGCGTTTTATGGTTGTGCAAACAAACAAAACAGAGGGGGGTGAGAAAGAGGTTTCCCCCTCGAGTGTGTGCCTCAACTGGAAGGGCCATAAGCAGTAATGAATGAGAATGCCAAAGAAAATGACGGGTTGCCAGGAACCCTAGAAGGGATCTAGTGCACCCATTTGAGTTTTGCTGAGCTCTGTTTGTGCCTGAAATAGTCTAGTGATGATGCAGTCATAGTGGTTTGTGTGAGTGTGATGGATGACGTTGCTTGCCACCAGACGATACAGTATTGTAGCTAACGGGTGTTGAGCGTTATCAAGGCGCTTGCTAGTGATGGCTTGATCACTCTGGAATGCAGTCAACTTGAGATGTTGGAAATCCACGTCGATGTCGGAGATCACTGGTGACGTAGATGACCGGATCAACATCTCTGCAGTGTTATCATGTCCGAGCGGATGACGTTGAATCAATGTTGGGCCCAAAGGCAGACGCCATGATCAATTATCCAGGGTTAGCCAAAGAGTCAGTCTCACTGGGATTCAGACATCTTGATGGTATCAGTTGCTTGTGCTTCATTTGGCATTCGCATTTCGCAATGAGTTCCTACAGGCAACCAAGAGGTTGGATTTTAGGAAAAAGTACACAGGATTATAATCCCCATTCCACTGCTTCTCGCAGCCCAACTCTCCTCCGAGGCTGAGTTGTTGTCAACCTCTCCCTCTTTTTCTATCCCCATCTAGCAACGCCTCGGGCGGCGGGAAGTGGCCCGAGGTGCCAAGTCCGGGTCAGCTAGGTATCCTCGCGAGGAAAGGCGCTTAGTGGTGAGCCTCATCCTCCTCCTCAGCCTCGAGCCAGTCAGCGACCTCGGGGGTGCCAGAGGCGGTCTGGGCAGAAGCATCCTGACCCTCAATCTCGACGGCCATGCTCTCGTACTCCTTCAGGCTGCCAGCGAGGTCGGTCTCCTCGGGGGAGGAGGGGGTCTTGGGGGCGCTGAAGGTCTGGACCTGACCCTCAGAGTCGGTCTCCTTGACGGCGGGGATCTTGTAGGCCTTGAGCTCCTTGAGGTAGAGCTCCTGGACGAAGTCGGCTGTTGGAGGGGTGTCAAGTCAGCAATTGAGCAACCATCGGACGGATTCAGGCGTTTCTGGGGCGCATTGGGCGTTGTGACTGCGAATGGAGATGGTGGACGATGTCCTGAGTATGATCGTGGAGGCTTTGGCGACGTCGGAGCTCGGGTGGAGCGCAGCTTCGGCTATAGGACAGATCCGACCGACGACAATGAAGAATCGACACAGGGCGAGAAGGAGTCGGAAATCGCAACGTCGGGGGATCAAGGCATCGACAGGGATAGGTTCTTACCTCTCCGAGAGACGGTGGGAGCAATGAAGCCCCTCATCTGGACGGCATTGGGTCGGGCGACTCGAGAAACGGCCGCAACGGCGGAGCGAGCGCGCTATAAAAGAAGTTCTCGTCAGCGCTCCTCGGTCTCGGGCAGACGTAGCATCGATATTTCGAGGGATCAATCGCTTACCGAAACCCGGGAAAGTTGGCTGAGCATTTTGTATGGCTGGTCGTGGCTCAATTGGGTACTCCGGGGAGATGGGGGAATTGAGGGTTTTGGGGAAAAATCGTGAGAGTGCAGGCAAGACAGGCGCTCGCCCCCCCCCGGCTAGAGCGGTTCGGCCTTGCTATCGCGGGCTTGATGCCTGAGGCCGCACACACGGTTGCCCGGAGCTTTACGGGTGGTTGACATCACGTGATGTTGGAGGAGAGCGATTGGCCAGATCTGGACCCAGATTGGCGATCTTGCTGCACAGCTTTCGGCTGCTGGGAATAAGCTTGCTTGATCCAACATCGACGACTTATACTGAGCTTCCTTTGGCCTGTATTTGTTTAATTTTCTTACAACTCTTCTCTAATGCATCTCACAATACTCGCAGCACGGCTCCATAATCCTTCCCAATCACCTACTACCTCAATTGTGGCGAGTGCCCCCCACATAACCCTCATGACTTCATCGGACGATGTGCTCTCACGCCATGAGCCATGATTCGACAAGGATCTATGAGAGGATCTCATTCCATGACTCCATGTTCATATGGAAAATTCAAGCTATCGATCAAGAGTCTTTTGATCTACCAAAAAGAAACACACAAAAAAGAATGATGCAGGAGCCGATCTGTTCTATCCGTCATTTTCGGCTCATGTTCCCGGCCTTCCCGTGGTATCACATCCTTGAGCTCCTAAATTATTCAACGCCCAACCATTTATGGCATCAACCCTCCAACCTTATCTCTGCTCCTCCTGGGACATTTGAGGAGAGATTGACTTAGTGCGAGCTGTCCTCCTCATGCCGCCAACAAAGATACTACCAGTGTATAGCAGGGCCGCGATACCAGCAATGACCGAGTAGGCAATGATATATCCCTTGGAGGAGCTTGCAAGTTGCAGGCCCAGGCCTCCGTTGATAATACCGAGGATCATGAGGATTCGGCCGAACCAGATATGGACATGGCTGATGATTCCTCGCTTGCCATGGCTTCTAAAGTATCGGTGATGGGCGAATCCAAGAAGGGGCTGGAGACCCATCAGCGCAACAACAATTGTGCCCATCTTGGTGTGGGTTTGCTTCCACCACTACAAGTCACACGTTAGTATGGGGTCAGGATGCGAGTGCATTCAAAAGGATGACTTACATAGCCATCGTCGCGGGCATAGACGTAGCCAAGACCGAAGCCAGCCCACATGCCCAGGAAAACGATGAACTGCCAGCCAGCGTGGACCAACCAGTTTCCAATGATGGGCATGAGGACAGCTCCCAGGGGATATCCAGCTAGGAAGACGATGGACATGATGATACCGTGAGCCCTCAGCACAGTCTTGCTCGGGCCAGATGACTCGGTTACACCAGAGTTGGAATTGGAGCCAGAGCCAGAGTCAGAGCCAGAGTCAGAGTCAGAGCCAGAGCCAGAGTTGGAGTCTGAATCGGAATCCGAGCCAGAATCAGTACTGCTGGAAGTGAAGGGGTTGCTATCCGAGCTCATAGATGCCTGGGCAAAGTTGACGCTGAAGCTGCTATGCTCGTCGTGCTCGCTGATCCTCTCTGAGACACTGGTCGAGTCTATGGAGTCGCCATTCTTCCAGGCCGCGATCCACGAGTTGGATCCCTCAAAATCGAGACTATCGCAGTCGCCGCACCGAATGTTGGCAATCAGCTTGCCGCCAGAGACGCCAGAACCGGCGAGGAGTTCAACTGCTGTCCGTCTTGTGTATTGGGGCATGACATGGCCGGTGCCAGTCCGTGTGCTGAGAGTCACGTTGCCGTCGCCGTTCTGGTAGATGAGGAACATCTCGGCGCCTGACATGCTGGAACCGATACCGAGGCCGGCCCATTGGACGCTGCTGGGTGCTTCCATCTGGAAGTAGATGTTGCCAGAGCCAGAGCTGGCGGACGCTTCTGGGACGCCCCAGCGGAAACAGACGTCTCCATCGTTGGGGCAGAAGGACGAAGTGACGGCCGATGTGCCGCGGGCGTCTAGAAAAAGGCCGTGTTAGTCGGGGGATATATCATGGCATTGAGGGTCACTCACACAATGCCGCCGTGGAAGCTAATAGTGTGCCGACTGTTGACTTCATGGTGGATCGAGATCTCTGGTGGATTCTGATTGTGAGAAACAGTCAAGATGGAATATCCCAAGGAGGGCAGGTCGATGGTCATATATGCGCACAGATGGGGGGCGCCTCTTGTAACACGGTCAGGCCCATCTCGAAACGGTGATGGGTTGCGTGCGCTACGTGGTAGCCGCGGACTGCAAGCCACGCCCGGCACCAGAGACATGCCCTCCACTGCCTTACGAATCCCATGCACGTTAGAGGCTCGGCAGATGAGCTCTAATTGGGGTAGTTCCGTCATCAAAGGGAAGGGGGGACGATCAAAGAGAAGCGCCAAGCAGGGGGGCGTGCATTGGCAAGACACGGTCTAATGGTCAAAGAAGATGCAGCACAGCATGAGCTCGTCTGCGATGCTGTCGTCAGCTTCGGCTCCGCCCTTTGATGCCCAGCCCAGGCCGTTTCTTCTCTGGGACCAGCGCGCAAAATAGGGTTTCATGACACTGCCACGCTATCATGGTCTCAAACCGTTGCTGCGGATTCGGCAACTCGGCGAGGGCGTTGGAGATGAGATGGTCAAGCCATTTGGCCAGATCTATGCGATTGGTTCCAAGAAGCCACTTTGAAAGGCAGGCTGCGTACTGAAGCCGCCGTTATTGGCTCCTCGCTGAAAAAGGTGCTGACACTGTGAGGAATACCACAACAATCGGCCAGCGAGGTCCCGGTTACAGAGAGTCTGCGTTTCTGGGTGCGTGAGGAAGGGCGGCCGACCCCTACCGCGATAGCGTCGGTACATCGAGCTTAAATCAACACAGCCCACTCGGGAATGGGACCCATCTATCGAGGCCAGGGAATGCCAGACCCAAAGATGCTTCTACTGGAAAATCATGTCCCGATAGAGACAGCTCTCTTGCTGCTGCTGCTTGATCCCCCGGCGGAGGGTTTCATGCTCCCGGCGCGGACTATCCCACATGTCCTATCCCACGTGGTCGCCGAAACCTCAATCTACGAAGGTTTGCGGCCGAGATGATGAACTTGGCGAAGGTTTCCCTCTACCGTCTGCTCTAGGGCGCGCACAAGCCAGTCCTTTCGTATCGCCTTATGAGCTGGGGCAACAGGGCATGTCACTGGCCCGTTTGGACGTCAAAGTCGCATGGGGAAGAGGCCTCCACAAAGTGAAGACGGCACGTCCAATTGCAGAGCCTGAATTTGCAAAACAGACCAGCGCCAAGGTCTAGAACTTGAGAAGAGTACGTCAGCAGCTTCCCCAGACGAGACAAGGGGGTAAAAAACAACAAAAAACTCTATGGAAATTAGCGATACGCAAGGTCCATTCAACGAGCTCTACGCAACAAGAGAGGATTCCCGGTCTTGGCGTATTCATGCTTAATTCCTCCCTATGATGAATCTTTTGATGATTCATCCATGACTGAGCAGTCGATCCCGAGTTGCCAAGACTCAAATCTTGAAGCTGTGGCATGCAGGTATCGACGCCTCACGCTTGGGGGATTGCGTGGCCCTCCTTCTCGGCGTCTGGGGGGGAAGTCTAGTTGCAGATATCTCAGACAAGCATTGGAATCGGCAGAAGAAAAGAAGGCATCATGATAGCGTCAAGATCCTGTTTTCCGATTCGGTACAGATAGGGAAGATGGAGGAAAGTTTGACTCTGTTGGACGCGAATGCGTGCCAAGCTGGCTATCAAACATCAACACACAACACTCAGACCCATGACATCTACACAGGAGAATCAATGGACCTCGGTCGGCAATTGTCCAGTAACTGACGGGCTACGTAAAGTCCACAGCAGATGCCGGCGCTAGCAATCACTGAGCCTCTCGGCTAGATTGGTTGCACTATACGACGGGATACACAGACAGACAGACAGTTGTCTCATCCCTGTGCCGGATGTCGTGACCCGATTATGTGAGAGTCTGCTTGTCCAACTCTTCACCCTTCCCCTGTCACGTCCATCATGATGCTGCATCGCTTCGCTCAAGCTGCACTTCTCTCACCATCTGCCAGCTCAGCCTCTGCTTACGTTGTACTCGCATAGCTGGATCCTCTCTCGAGCATTACCAATCTGACAAGGACCTGTCGTCTCACACACTCACTGCTGGCACATGCATCATCATCGTCACTCGCTGCGAAATGTGATGCTACACGGAGACGCGACATTCCGTGCAACATTCAAAGAGTCTATTGTACTGTAATATCTCTAGCCGACTCCAGGCTGTTGATTGTCAGACAGCCATCTATAGCTGTGCGTGGATCTAAGAGCTCAAGAAAGAAAGAGAAAAAGACGAAAGGCAAAAAAAGACACGCCGCTCGCAAATACGCCAAACTGCTCCATTGGCCCAACCTCAAACTCCTCGTCCCCTATGTTCTACTGCTCAATCCTCGCTAATCACATCTCTCAGTTATGAGCAAAGGCTGCGAACGCATCGTTGTTCAGCAAGCTCGACGATGCCACAAAGCTGAACCCGCCAAAGAGGTCGTCCTTAGGGGCGCTCCGGGGCCAGGCATCCTTGTTGGTCATTGTCGGACTGATGGACAGCTCCGTGAACTCGGGGGCGAAGTTCTCGGCCAGCTCGGGGTCCGTGATCATGGGTTGGATTGGCGGCTCAAGCTCCCGGGCTGCTAGCTTCTTCCAGTCGAGCTTGCGGAAGAATCGATGCTTCTTCATGGTCTGGAGGTCCTTGGGCATCACGGCGCCGAGTCGCTTCTTGGGGTCCTTGCGAAGAAGGCGAGTGAGAAGATCCTTGGCATCTGGACTCAAGAAGTATGGAAGCACTAGCTTCTGCTTGACGATGTTGTCCTGGATCTTGGCATGATTCTGTCCACGGAATGGCGGGTTTCCGGTCATCAAGTCGTATCCAAGGGCGCCAAACGACCACCAGTCGACCGCCTTGCCGTACTTCTTGCCCAACACAACCTCAGGGGCCATGTACTCGACCGTCCCGAGCATCGAGTTGCAGCTCTCGCCCTGGTCGACAGACACCTTGGACAGCCCA